AATTCAAAATATCTTCCCTTTAATTACATATTATCTTCATCACAGATACTGCAGTACAATTACTACCATGATATTGAAAAGAGATATGGAGGCCAGGCACAGTGGCTCATGCCTGTAATCCCAGCATTTTAGGAGGCTTGGGCGGGTGGAGGTCAGGAGTTCGAAACCAGCCTGGCCAAGATGGTGAAGCCCCGGCTCTACTAAAAACTATAAAAATTAGCTGGGTGCGGTGGTAGGTGCCTGCAATCCCAGCTACTTGGGAGGCTGAGGCAGAATTGCTGGAACCCAGGTGGCAGAGGTTGCAGTGAGCTGAGATTGCACCACTGCACTCCAGCCTGGGGGACAGAATGAGAATCAGTCTCAAAAATGAAAAAAGAGGTATGTAGCCAGCAGTTTCACATTTGAAAGAGTTGAAAAACCCAGGCCTAGTTCAAGTTTCTTCCATGAGGCTTCCCTTACTGTTTTTGTGTTAAATTATAAAAATCTTTCAAGGATCAAATCCTATACCATTCTGCCATATTTATTTTATTTAAATGATGTACTGTATGCTGCTGTCTGAAATGTGGTCAACATTAATCTATTAATCTATATTCCTGTTGCACCTGTCTCTTGTCCATTCATTTTATCTGCCCCAGTTCACTATTTTTTATTCTTATTTGGAGTCAGGTGATCACTGCCTTGGCTGTGCTCTGCAGGTGCCGCTTTCTGCTGGGTCCTGGAGTTGTCACCCCTTGGGCCTCACGGTCTCCCACGGGCACAATGGAGGAGAAGGATGAGAAAGCTTGGGCAATGCTGGCCCTCTGGGGCCTCCAGTCACCTGGCAACAACTTTGGATTCTGTTTTTGATGTGCTTCATTGGCTCTGGCAGCTATTTTTGCTATGATAATCCTGCTGTCCTTCAGACTCAGGATAAACAGGATATGCAGGTGAATACCGTGAAATTCAGGCTGCTATATGCCTGATATTCTTGGCCCAATGTAGTTTTGTATTTTTTTTGTGTGTTTTAAAAAAAAAAAAAAAAAAAAAAAAAAGACTGAGTATTTGGAATATGAT